CAGGAACCATGTGAAGAACAAACGACCTGGACGAATGCAGGTATCGCCTTGAATTTTTCAGGGCACCTAGGTACCAACGTGAAAAGTTCCTCGCCGGAATTTGGTAGTCATGGTACCTTTGGTTCCAGCGCGGCGCATGCGCGAAGTCAAAAGAAATTATGGTCGATTTTGGGATTTTGGGTATATTTCGGAGTGGTTTGGTAAGTGACGGTGTATCTAAGATGGCGGTCATAACACAATATTATAATAACTTTAAAGAATGAACAAATTTCCGCGACCGGGTTGATTTGCTCTGCCCAGGCAACGTTCCTGTGCTCCGATTGCCTTCAAATTTGCACAGAATGTACCTTGGGATTCTAGCTATCACATATTAAAAATAGAAGAGTGTTGGATTCCGAGAACGTTCAAAATAAATTCAAAACCCACCCCCAACAATCAAAGGTTTTTTGCTTAAAAAATTGCCGTATTTTATCGAATTTTTATTGTTCTTGATATCTGAGGATTTTCTCAATTTACTATGTGATAAATATCATCGCGGCGCAGCCAACCGCTAGAAATTCCAGAGATTTGGACCACCGGAAGGATGCCCCAGCAGTCAAAAAAGGTCAAAATAGGCGATTTCGGTTTCTAGTGTCGATACATCGTTACGGTCATTTTAAAAAATTGTCTTTTAAGGATAATGTGTATAGTACCAATACCTATCACATACAGAAGAGGCGATAAAATCTCTTTGCATTTGCAATTTCAAAATAAATTAAAACCAATAATAAATTCCGAAAATCGTTTTTTTGCTAAAACTCTTTTTTTTAATCGGATCAAAATGGGAGTAAGGCACAAAGTCCGGGTGGTAATGGGCGTATTGTGTCCAAATTTCATGGTTTTCGGACAATCGGTGCCGGTGTCACGGCGAAATTCCACTTTTTTCCCCTCATGGAAGCCGTAAATTGACTTGAAGCCAGGGTCCTTGAAGTTGTACAGCTGCACCCGGTGACCGATATTTATTTAACGGGGAATAAGTGATAATTCATATTATAGCAGTAAATAATTAAAATATTTCATAGGGATTATAATAATATGTATATCTTGTCTGGGTACAGGGTTAAAACCAATATTAAATTATGAAAATCGTTTTTTTGCTAAAACTCTTTTTTTTTAATGGGATCAAAATGGGGGTAAGGCACAGAGTCCGGGGTGGTAATGGGCGTATTGTGTCCAAATTTCATGGTTTTTGGACAATCGGTGCCGGTGTCACGACGAAATTCCACTTTTTCCCCTCATGGAAGCCGTAAATTGACTTGAGGCCAGGGTCCTTGAAGTTGTACAGCTGCACCCGGTGACCAATATTTATTTAACGGCGAAAGGCAGGTGACAAGAACAAACGACTTGAATGAATGCATGTATCACCTTGATATTTTCAGGGTACCTAGGTACCAACGTGAAGAGTTGCTCGCCGGAATTTAGTACTCATGGTACCTTTGGTTCCAGCGTAGCGCATGCGCGAAATCAAATCCAGCTTAACTCGAAAACAACCCTGTCGGCACGAAAAACATCAAAGGAGAAATTCAAATTTTTGAAATATTCAAATACCAAACGTTCGACCATGATCCAGGCTATCCTGAAATATATTAATTTCGGTAATAGGAGACATATTCTCTAGGTCACGACCAATTGTATATGTTTTCAAGCCCATAAATGTGGATTTTTCACTAATTGTCATTTTCAATTGAAAATGGCGTCCATCATTTGCCGGAAATCAAAATTGTGTTCTCTACCGTTTTTCGGCTTTCCTTCAAGGATTCGGAAAATATAATTGCCTTGTCTGTAAGTAAAATATCAAAAAAGCCTTATGTAATTTTCACATTTCAAGAAGGTGGCATTTCCGGTTTGAGCTACAAACTCAATTTTTTGTGTACGAATCAGGCAATCTGACCTATATTTCGTCGAATTTTTTGAAAACTTTGATCCTTAATTTCATCAAGGGGAGATAATTTAGAAAATTTCTAATGATATTTTTGAAGTCGCATTGATAAGATCTACTTACATTCTAAATTTCATGAAAATCGTGCAACTATTAAAGAAGTTGTCAAATTGATCTCAAATTCCAATTCAAAATCACAGCGACGAATTTTCGAAATTCGAAAATTCGAAATTGCAGATTTTAAGTAAATGTTTCAAGGCACCCCTCAAAAAAAGAATTAGTAAAATAGGTCAAATAGTTACAAAGTTACAGTAATGTAGGTCAAATGAATTTGTTCGTAAAATTCGGTGATTTCGGATTCGAAAAACGATTTGGAAATATATTTAATCAACATTCGCACCCCATTTTTGAGGGGGTAGGTCAAAGTTTCAGATTGATCCTATGGTTAGATTCTGAGAAATCCGATTTGTAGAAATGACACAAAAAAAAAAATAATAATAGGAAAAATGAGCAGAGCTACATCATAAATAACTTGATTCAAAATCGTATTATAGCCCCAACGACGATTTGATGAATGGAGACCGTAACGTTACGACAAAGTCTAACACTGTAAGTACCAAATAGTCATACGAGATATGTGCATCTCATCAAATTCAGCTTATACCATACCCACAATAATGTTACGGAGTCAGTGAGTTCAAGTTAGACAATACGCTGACCTTCCACTGACCATGCTTATAATATAAAATCTGTCAATGACAGCTGATTCATTGTTTAGTTTTTTATATGATATATTTAATATCAATAATATATGTATATGCATGCTTTATTTTACTTTACACGACCTCTAAAAATGCCCCAAATCGTAAAAATACGACTTTTTGGATTTCGATCTCCTTTTTTCGGCTACCCCGGACATTTTCAAAAAATGATACAATGATTTCACACAACAGGCCAGCTATTAGCCTCTCGATTGACAAGAGTTTCATCGCCCTCCATTCATTATAACCAATGTCATCGTGCCCTAAAGAATCAACAAATCAGCTTGCTTATCTCTGCTTACCCTAGGCAAAAAATGCTCATCTTTGAACTCAATCATGACATTGACCTAGTGAACGCCTACACCAAGTTTGAACATTCTAGCTTAATTAGAAGGAGAGTTCTTGTGTTCCAAAGTCCCGGCCCTTCAAATTGCTTCTATTTTTCATTTTCAATTCAAAATGGTGACCATCACGTGACCGAAATCAAAATTCTGATCCGATAGATTTTTAGGCATTCCTTCCAGGATTCCGAAAATATGACGCCCGAGTCTGTAAGTAAAATAGCAAAAAAGCCTTTTTGATTTTTCACGTTTAAAGATGGTGGCACTTCCGGTTCGATCGACAAACTCCATATTTTGTGTACGAATCAGTAATTACTTGTCTAGTATCGAATTTTTTTTTTAGGTCATTCTGACCTATATTTTGACGATTTTTTTGAAAACTTTGATCCTTAATTTCACCAAGGGGAGATAATTTAGAAAATTTCCAAGGACATCATTGAAGTCGCACTGGCAAGATCTACTAACATTCTAAATTTCACGAAAATCGCACAACTATTAAAGAAGTTGTCAAATTGGTAATAACTTCCGGTTCGAAATGACAGCGACGAATTTTCGAAATGCCAAAATCCGAAATTGCAGATTTGAAGTAAATGTTTCAAGATACTCAAAGAAAAAAGAATTAGTAAAATAGGTCAAATAGTCACAAATTCGGTGATTTCGGATTCGTAAAACGTTTTGAAAATATATTTAATCAACAGCCACCACCCATTTTTGGGGGGATAGGTAAAAGTTTCAGAACGATCCTATGGTTAGATTCTGAGAAATCCGATTTGTGGACAAAACACAAAAAAAAAATAACAATAACTAGATCTGCTAAGCAGATATTAAAGCTTTCATATTCACAGTCACTGTCACATGTCATAGAAATAATATGAACAGAAAAAAAAAATCATTATAATGAGTAAAAATTTGGTGAAGTTAATTCGATTTTTCACTTGTAAATAATTAAATAGACAAGTGGCATAACTTGACCCGCATCCCATCAGCTATCCTGAAAAATGCTGGAAAAATTAAACAAGTAAATTGTGTTTAGTACTGGGTTAATTAAGACAGGCATATGCCTTTGCTATACAGGATGACATGAGGGAAATTTAGCTTGGGAGGTGTAGGCCTGCAGCCAAAATTTCTAGCTAGCTTAGAAACACAACTCCGCTACACGGTCTTCCATAAAAGAAAAACTATACATTTTTGGAAAGCTTATGATGCCAGGAAGACAAAATCTGGGAGTTCCAAGCAAAATGTTTTCAATTTATTGATTTAGGGCCAGATGAAATTCGTCAAAATTGTCAAATAAATGCTATTTGTGTACTAACAATTCTGAAGTTGACATAAAATTAAATAGTTGGTAAAACACCTCATGCCTTCATCCTTGGCAATGAACAGTTTATTGGACAGATTTTGATGTAAATAAAAATGCTCAAAACACAAATGTCATGGGTGAATAAAGAATTGTGGAAATCCATTAACGGTAAAAAAGAATTATCTCCCTTTCTGTCAAATGCCTGTAATTGATAGACTATCAGGTCTTGTATGAATCATAAGACCAGGTGTGGGCAAACAAGCCCAATAATTATTTTGTTTGTTGGATCTCAAGGGCCTGTTAGGGTTGGTTGTTGGATGTTTGCTCAGAAATTATCGCTTGTATGGAACATGCTAGAGTCGATTTGTAGCATATTCTAGCCAGGGGATATGTTTGACAGTAGTTGAGTGATATGCTTTTGAAATAATGGAGATCAGTAGCACTTTATAAGCATTGAACCACATGATTTTTTTCCACTAAGATAAACATTCTAAACCCACATACATGTTCCCTTTCAATTAGCCACTACAGTATTTTTACAACTGTACATGTAGCTGTGAACTACTATTTCGGATATGATTAATGGTCAAATTACAAACATACATGTAGATATAAGTTAAAAAAAATAATTGTGTATCTGGGCTGGAATGAAGGGAAAGGTTAGAAAACAGGATGAACAGTTGTGAAATTATTTATTAAAGTGAAACAATCATTGAAAATCAAAATTAAACAGTTACTCTGCACATCAAATGTCATCAAAGTTAATCTTCATTATCATCATCACTGTCACTAAATGTATTAACATCAAATTCGGTCTCTTTAACAGTTTTTTTTTCATTTTCACATTGACTACACATGCACAGGTCTGTACAAGAAAGGGGGGTTGGGATGGCCTAGAGTGCCGCGCTTCGACCTCTAGCTGGTCGGTCACCTCTGGCTTGTGGCTGTGGCTTTGATCCCAGGTGTGAGCGTATGTGGCATGGAGATAGAGGCGTTTTCTCAACCTCGTGGGTTTCCTCCGGGCACTCCGGTTTCCTCTCACTGCTAAAGACCCATACGCGCAAGCGAATTATTGAAATAAAATTGAAACCGTATGTTAGTCCCAAAATGACCTAGTTTGTGTTGAGTGGACGTTAAACCCCATTTCTCTTTCTCTCTCTCTCTGTACAAGACAACTTTGCTGGCCATTTATGATTCTTTCTCTTATGACATCTTCACAGAATATATTGTATGTGGTTTAATATTCGACGGAGGGCTAGTCATCTTTGCTGAAAAATATAAATAAACATATACATGTACACAATTAAAACAAAATTCTGGAGCTTGGTTTACTCTCATTAATTTCGTACAACAGAGGAAAAAGACACTTACACAGGGGTTAACATCTTATTTTCATGCAGAAACCAGCTAATGAAGACAGGAAGGCATTAGCAGTACAAGGAGAGATAGAGAGGAGAATTGCGGTTTAACGTCCACTGGACAAAAACATAGTAATTTCAGGACTCACCCATGGTTCAGTTTTATTTGAATAATACCAGTGGCAAGAAGGCGGAGAATACAAATAAAAAAAACATCACAAATATTTACCTTTCTGATAACTGTCTAAGAAATTCAGTACATGTATATTGCCTATAACATTTTTGGTGATATCTGACCTCAATGGCCACACAATCTTGCCCTCTGATATGCCTTAAAATATCTTCATCCTCTTTCAATTCAGCAGCTTTCAACAGTTGGCCTACAAACAAATTTGCAAACAAATTATACACCATATAGCGTTGAATGTTGTTTGTGCTCAAGGGTGGGGGAGGGAATGTCACTTTGAGGCCTACATGTACATGTACCTGGCTGGTCAACTCTGGCATGCGGTTTAGTTCAGATCCTTTGTGTGAGCGGAAATGGTCTAGAGACAGATCGTCTTAGCAAGGCACCTACAAGTGGGCCAAGAAAATAAAAAACAAGTTAACTTCTCTATGTTTCATCCCTTGTGCAAGCAAATGTGCAACACTTTAACCAATGACTGTGCCAAATCAACAAATGGGGTAAAGGGCTTTACTGGCTAGCTTCATAACAATTTTACAGTGATTGCAGTAGCACTTCTGATTCCATTTACAACAAAAACAACAACACAATAATTAAAAACTGTAGGATGAATATATTTAATATTTATTAGTAATAATTATAAATTTAGTAAGTAACATAATATTAACATTAGGCCTACCTGAGCCTGTTTGGGTCTGAGTCTGTGTTAATACACCCTTCTTCCTATTTTCTCCAACAGTGACAAATCTGTCACGTTTTTTACATATAATACACACAACAGGCAGCACCGATTTACTCTTTCTTTTTGCTTCAGGAGCGTAATTTGTTTGGAGAGCTAGGTCCCAGATCGTCTACACTCCCGCTATTCCCTGGTTGGATTGTAGCCCGGGATTTTAATTTTTCTTTATCTATACGATTATTCTATCTATATACATTTGTACAGATATATTTGTATCCATAGATATATATTTGTATCAATACATTTAATTTTGTTGTTTGAAATAAGGGGGGGGGGGGGTGAATGGTTAGTATGTGCGCGCTGTATCATAAGGTCTGCCATTTAGTGAACTGGTGTGGTTTCAAATCCCCAGTTGTACGTGGCAAGGAGTAGGGTAGCACGTTCATCCTTCGAGGGTTTTCTCTGCGAACTCCAGTTTCCTTCCATTGCTAATGACCCATACGCACAAGCAAATTATTGAAATAAAATTGGACCATGTGTTAATGCCAAAATACCTAGTTTCTGTCGAGTGGACTTAAACCCCATTTTTCTCCGTCTTCTGATTGAAATATGAATACCACATCATTTATTGTCATTTTATATATTTATTATGTAATAATGATTTTTCTCTGTGTTAATTTTTCTTTGTGTGGATACACTATAATACAACAGCTGGCTGAAAAGTTCTAGATCTGAAGAGGAGAGATTTAATTGGCTGTTACCACCACAAGTAGAATCATTGAATGAATCATAGACATAAGACCTGCAGCTGAAGTGTTATTATTGTATTTGTACCAGACAATCTTGTGAACCTACCCACTGAAATCACCAAAAATGGACAGAACTATCGATATGGCAGTCATCAAGTATCTGCAACTGAAAGTCCTAACCCAAACATTGAAATATGTGGATACGGTTTGTGTTGAGTGGACGTTAAACCCCATTTCTCTTTCTCTCTCTCTCTGTACAAGACAACTTTGCTGGCCATTTATGATTCTTTCTCTTATGACATCTTCACAGAATATATTGTATGTGGTTTAATATTCGACGGAGGGCTAGTCATCTTTGCTGAAAAATATAAATAAACATATACATGTACACAATTAAAACAAAATTCTGGAGCTTGGTTTACTCTCATTAATTTCGTACAACAGAGGAAAAAGACACTTACACAGGGGTTAACATCTTATTTTCATGCAGAAACCAGCTAATGAAGACAGGAAGGCATTAGCAGTACAAGGAGAGATAGAGAGGAGAATTGCGGTTTAACGTCCACTGGACAAAAACATAGTAATTTCAGGACTCACCCATGGTTCAGTTTTATTTGAATAATACCAGTGGCAAGAAGGCGGAGAATACAAATAAAAAAAACATCACAAATATTTACCTTTCTGATAACTGTCTAAGAAATTCAGTACATGTATATTGCCTATAACATTTTTGGTGATATCTGACCTCAATGGCCACACAATCTTGCCCTCTGATATGCCTTAAAATATCTTCATCCTCTTTCAATTCAGCAGCTTTCAACAGTTGGCCTACAAACAAATTTGCAAACAAATTATACACCATATAGCGTTGAATGTTGTTTGTGCTCAAGGGTGGGGGAGGGAATGTCACTTTGAGGCCTACATGTACATGTACCTGGCTGGTCAACTCTGGCATGCGGTTTAGTTCAGATCCTTTGTGTGAGCGGAAATGGTCTAGAGACAGATCGTCTTAGCAAGGCACCTACAAGTGGGCCAAGAAAATAAAAAAACAAGTTAACTTCTCTATGTTTCATCCCTTGTGCAAGCAAATGTGCAACACTTTAACCAATGACTGTGCCAAATCAACAAATGGGGTAAAGGGCTTTACTGGCTAGCTTCATAACAATTTTACAGTGATTGCAGTAGCACTTCTGATTCCATTTACAACAAAAACAACAACACAATAATTAAAAACTGTAGGATGAATATATTTAATATTTATTAGTAATAATTATAAATTTAGTAAGTAACATAATATTAACATTAGGCCTACCTGAGCCTGTTTGGGTCTGAGTCTGTGTTAATACACCCTTCTTCCTATTTTCTCCAACAGTGACAAATCTGTCACGTTTTTTACATATAATACACACAACAGGCAGCACCGATTTACTCTTTCTTTTTGCTTCAGGAGCGTAATTTGTTTGGAGAGCTAGGTCCCAGATCGTCTACACTCCCGCTATTCCCTGGTTGGATTGTAGCCGGGGATTTTAATTTTTCTTTATCTATACGATTATTCTATCTATATACATTTGTACAGATATATTTGTATCCATAGATATATATTTGTATCAATACATTTAATTTTGTTGTTTGAAATAAGGGGGGGGGGGGTGAATGGTTAGTATGTGCGCGCTGTATCATAAGGTCTGCCATTTAGTGAACTGGTGTGGTTTCAAATCCCCAGTTGTACGTGGCAAGGAGTAGGGTAGCACGTTCATCCTTCGAGGGTTTTCTCTGCGAACTCCAGTTTCCTTCCATTGCTAATGACCCATACGCACAAGCAAATTATTGAAATAAAATTGGACCATGTGTTAATGCCAAAATACCTAGTTTCTGTCGAGTGGACTTAAACCCCATTTTTCTCCGTCTTCTGATTGAAATATGAATACCACATCATTTATTGTCATTTTATATATTTATTATGTAATAATGATTTTTCTCTGTGTTAATTTTTCTTTGTGTGGATACACTATAATACAACAGCTGGCTGAAAAGTTCTAGATCTGAAGAGGAGAGATTTAATTGGCTTTTACCACCACAAGTAGAATCATTGAATGAATCATAGACATAAGACCTGCAGCTGAAGTGTTATTATTGTATTTGTACCAGACAATCTTGTGAACCTACCCATTGAAATCACCAAAAATGGACAGAACTATCGATATGGCAGTCATCAAGTATCTGCAACTGAAAGTCCTAACCCAAACATTGAAATATGTGGATACGGTCTCCACTATAGGAGACAATGGCCCTTCCTTTTCTGCACTAAAGAAATGGTTGCAGGAGGTACTTGATCCAGTGACATCCAGTGACAATCTTTGCTGTTTTCAATATTTCCTAAAAAAATTTTAGCCAGATTTTTAAACATAGAGGAGACCTGGATTCATCAGTTTCAACCAGAATGCAAAATTCAATAAAAACAATGGAAGCATCCAGACTCGCAAGTCCCCAATCAAGCCAGGTCAGTTCTTTCGACTGGACAGGTGATGGGTTCACTCGTTTATGATTCCTAAACTATTCTGCTGATTGACTACCTTAAAAACAGCCAGACTATCAATAGAAGTATTATAAAGGTGTTCTATTCAGACAATACTTCTGTTCATAAATGGGTGATATCATTTTCCCTCTATGATTACGTCATGTCAGCTGTGATCAATTTTTTAAGGGTAACTGAAGATAATTTCTTCCTGGCAGACATCAAGGCCATGCAACATCATTAACTAAAGAGTGAGAGTGTACACTTCAAAAGTGACTACATAGAAAAATAAATGGAAACAATGGACTTTATACAATTCTATACAGTTCTTTCACAGATGGGTTTAGAATTTTTCAGCCAGCTCTCAATAGTTATTGAAATTGAATTATTTGTTTTGGTTTGATACATGATATTATAATTATTCTTACATTGTTTGTATTCTATTTTAATAATGAACATTAAAACATGCTAATATTTGTTCATCCTTGCTGTATTGGGTTGGATGGCCGAATGGTTAGTGTGTGCATGCTGTATCATACGGCCTGCCATTAAGTCAACTGGCGTGGTCTCGAATCCCTGGTTGTACGTGGCAAGGAGTAGGGTCACCTGTCCATACTCCTGATTTGCTCCGGGTACTCTGGTTTCCCCCCACTGCTAAACCCCCCTACGCGCAAGCAAATTATTGAAATAAAATTAAACCATATGTTAGTCCCGAAATGACCTTGTTTGTGTTGAGTGGACGTTAAACCCATTTCTCTCTAATTATGTTTTGCATACAATGTATAAATACAAATGTAAAGGATGTAACTTTAAAATAGAAGAAAATCAAATATTTTTAATATTAAACAATTGCTTTGTTCTTATACTTCTACAATCATTCTCATGTTGTTCATTTTGCCATATTTTTGTTTATTCATTCATATGTCTTCTATATAATGATGCATAGTATAGTACACTATGTTAAAAAAATACTAGAAATGTATGTTTCTTTATCACCAAATGATTTATGTAAGTTGTGAAGTAAAACAGTTGAACATTAAATCCCATTTCAATTTATTTGCATGAGGTGAAGAGAAATAATGGTATTGAACAATTGACTATTCATGAAAGATACTAAAGAGAACTTTATTAATTTATACATACTTTTGCTAATTTTATTGTTATATCTTGGTAGTAACATACCAATATAAATAGTAATATTGTTTCTAGATGAAGACTATTATAATTGAAATGAAATGGGATTTCACATCATAATGCTATGCACGGACTGGGCTAATAATGACAAAAAACTACAATGAATACAATAGTATAAAATGTTGCTATGAAATTAAATAAATGTTGTATACAATAATTAACCGGTTTAATACTATATTATACATAAAAGTGAATGAAATTCAATGTTTACTATTTTGCTTTATACATGAATATCACAGGTCAAATTATTGAAATAAATAATGCAAATAGATTATGATTTGAAACATCTTGTATGTCATTGTTCTATTTGTTATATAAGACTACATGATATAAACTTTTTGATAAGCCTCTTTTATCATATTTTGAACCAATGGAATAAAGAGCAAAGACCTAGAATATATTGTAAATATAATCAGGTTTTTGATCAACTGATCAAAGGAAAATATTGCGAATAAATTTGTTGTACTGCTATTGTAAAGAAATCATCATTGTTTTATTTGATATTTAGAATACACATAATCGTGTATATTTATTTGAAGTTAAGAGCAATTATGATTAGTGATACCTGTATGACCAACTCTCAAAAGATAATCTCATTAAACCAAGTACTTTTTTTCATTTGTATTAGTTGATTTATACTGAATAAAGATAACACAAACAAACAAAAATGAGTTGGCTGTGTGAACACCTCAATGACAAGTGGTATCAGATGCCTCAGAGAGAATATTCAAATGCTCCTTTGATACGTTTGTAACACAATTATAACCTAATGTATTACACGGGAGTGGAGTGGGTGGGTCGGGGGGCTTTTCGATTGGCAGGGGACTATTAAAATGGGTAAGCAGAGATAAGCAATTTGATGAAACTTTGTGTATAGTTTCATTACATTAGTACCTTGACCATATTACCTTGACCAAGTTCGACAATGAGCATTCTCTTAGTCAGGATAAGCAAAGCAACTTGATTGGCCGGGACTTTGAATTGGTTGATGCTTTGGGGTATGATAACTTTGGTTATAATGAAGTACTGGAACATAACAACCCAGCTTTTAATTGAGCTAGAATGTTTAAACTTGGTGTAGATGTTCATCAGGTCTTGACTGAACATTTTGAGCTACAGCTTGGCAATTTCATTGGTCGATGCTTTGGGACAAGATAACCTTGATTTCTATCTGACAGAGAGTGATGCAATTTACAGTATAGTTTGATTGCTCGATACTTTTCAAAAAAAATATGAAAGTGCGATTAATTAATGTGTCATCTTTTACTTTGGGGTTTTGGCGGGAGACATC